TACCACATAATACCACATTTTTCCGTAGGTGCTACACATTTACCATGTACATATCATTAGTATGTACAGTAATATGTCTTATTAGTTACCATATACAGATACTGCAAGGATGTGCCTCTTTGTACCCACTTGTCCGTAAGTACTACATATTTACCATGTATACCCAGGTGAAAAAGACGTAGTATTAAATGTATTAAAAATATACTTGAAATTCAAGTAGTATGCTAATAATACATTTGTATTCCCAACATGCTTATTTGAAGTGCAATAAAAATATATTGAATTGCATTTTAATATATTTCTAAAAAGTATACTAGAAGTACTTTTGTATTAAATATATGCTTAGTTATACTTCTAAGAAATATGCTTAACAGAAGCATACTTTTAATGTATTTCTAAAAAGTATAGTAGAAATACTATGTTAATAAATATATTTTTAGTTACACTTTTAAGGGATATACTAAACAAGCATACTTGTAGTGACTTTTTAGTGTATTTACAGAAAACATAATTATGTTACCCTTACTTACAGTATATTTTATGTCTACTTTGTGTAAGAACAACAAAATGATTACACTTTTAGTGGGTTTTTAATGTACTTTATATTGCAGTAGGCCTACACATGGTTATATTTTAAATATTTATGTATTTACAATTTTAATATTTGGAAAAGTACAATATTTTGAAAAACATTTTTAACATTTATAATGTACAAACGTTTGTCAACTATTATTAAGCATTGCGATATTTAAAATATGTTGTTTAATATGTTGTCAGTTTTACTTAAAAGGTTTTGCTACTTTGGTTGATTAGGCTGTTGTTCATTTATGGGGGTAGAATTGTTGCTTAATTCCAAATAAATAGATTATGATCCACAAATAAATCTTAACATAAAATACTGTGGCTTGGCATGATACACAGTCTAATGGTCTAACGAAATCCAGTTTTAAACATCTTTTACTGTACCCATTGTATGGCCCTTATATGACCTATTTGAGCCAATGCAGATGAATTAAGTTATCTCAGGACGAGACCGCCCTGATTGTAAAGCAAAACGTGATTGGCTATAGCGAGATCATGCTACGATTGGTCAGCGAATGTGGCTGTTATCTGATTGGCTTGAGTAGACGGTGGGTGGAGTCCACGTATTTGTGGATTGTCAGCACGTCTTGACACAAGAAATGTTTCACAATTCGCAAATGCACAGGACGCGATTCACAAATGCGTGCAGCTATCTACAAATGCACAGAACGCGATTCACAAATAAATGCCAGGCAAAGTTGTGGTTGTGACATAAATATATATTTGTGAATATGTTTTTTATTTGCAAATCTCATTTTATTTATTTGTGAATTTAATATATGTTTGTGAAACTTTAAGATTCATTTGTGGATCTCATTCTATTTATTTGTGGATCATAATCTATTTATTTGGAATTAAGCAACAATTCTACCCCCATATTCATTACATGAAACATTAATTGTAATAAGCTAGGTTTTTTTAAATTTCTTCAAGCTTGACGCCTTTATTTTCTAATATATATTTCTGAAATTCCCACAAGGATTTCAACATCATATACGGAAAAAAAAACTTGCATTTACTTGTTTAAATTCAAACAACAGACCCACTAAACCTGATTGGTTCCAGAGCCATTGAACGGCTCTGATTGGTTCGTATGATAATGAGCTCGCCCCAGAGAGCTTCGTATATAAAATATGATGTGTGTGCAAATGTCTCTTGAATGTGAATATAAGTCTAAATGTAAACAGTATTATATAGAGCGGTCGCCGATCGTATCTCTTTAGGGCACTTGGAGGAAACCACCCAATTCATATGGATTACTTTGGCGATGTTTTTTTGCGATTTCAACATCTTTGGTGAATCTTCTTTCATCGGAGGGACACAAATCTCTTAGATTTTTATTAAAATATCTCAGCTTTTCTTTTAAAGATGAACGAAAGTCTTAGATGGTTTGGAGCATCTTCAATGATGAATGATGACAGAATTCAAATTGTTTTGGGGGAACTATGAAATTAATTAGAAAATATAGCGGTATGTTCTTATTTTTACCAGCTTCTGCAAGCGTGTATGGCGTCTGGCTTTTGGAACCTCACTGTGACTTCAGGTAAGATTTAATTAACGTTATTTGTCTGTGCCAGTCGTGTTTTTGACACATGCATTGGCAGAAAAAAATAAATAAAATAAAATTAGTCATTATAACATGTCCAACATTAACATTCTTTTATTTGCAAAATGAAGTTATGTATTTATTTATTTCTGATTTCCTGAACAATTTGGCTTCATTGTAATGAGGTTAATGATCTTTGAAAAACCATGATTATGAACATACAATAACTTTGTCTTGAGCTGATTAGCCAACTGTGGTAGTGTTCATTGATTGGTGTTTATATTTGTTCATGCTTGACAACCTTATCGCCTTTATTTTCTAATATATATTTCTCATTACAGATAAGAACAAAGATTAAATTGTAAGAAGGGTTGCTTATATGAGAGCATACAGTAGATCTGAAACTGCTGAGGCTGGGAAGGTTTTTGACTATATTACCGACCAGGTACATTGTTCTCAGAGTACGGTCATTCTTAAAAAGAAAACAAATCATCAATCATCATTTGCTTTTTTGTGTGTGTGAAATATTAGCATTTGTTGTTTTTCAGATCAGCTGCTATAGAAGACAAATTGAAATCTGAGTGCAGAGACAAGCAAAGGAATAGTAAGTATATTTTCATGTTATATCCCCTCTGTTATAGAGATTTTTGAATCAGGCCTAATGGAGGGTGATTTGGTCAATCTTGGAAGAAAAACGTTAGCAATGTGTCCATTCCAGCTGGCTAATTTGTGCTTGCTTTTAGTAAAATGTAAAAATCTGTAATTTTGTTTCTGTTTTGTTTTTTTCTAAAGCTGCAAGGCTCTGGTGCAAAATATTGCATGCCAGGAGTCAGGACAACTAGGCTGTGCCCAGGTCTCAAGAACCTGCGTTAACGCTCAGCTCCATCAGCCCTCCATTTGCGCCTTCGGATCCACCAGCTCTGACTCCATCGGTCGGCCCCCAGATGTTGGCAGCCACACCATCTACATCTTGGCTTCTCGCTCCCTCGATTCCGCCGTGTGTTGTCAGCACTGGGATGCTCTGGGTCTGTGCCATGTGCCAAACACCATCTAAGCTGCCAGGGCATCATCGTCATCCTCCCATCACCATCCCTTCGCCACATCCTGCCATCATCCCCGCACTTTTGCCTCTCACCATCCCTACGCCATGTCCTTGTCCACCTCCAAAACCCCCTCCATCCTTCCCTATTCTGTTGCTTGAACTTTATCATCTTTAGTCTTTGCACACACACAGCTTCACTTATGCACTGTTTTTCAGTCTTTTTTTTTCTTCAGAAAATTGCATTGTAATCTTTATTCATTGATGTAAAATTCTGTACTTTTGAGTAAGGCCGAAAAATATTTATGTTTTTTTTATAATGTATTAAAATGTACTTGAGTATGTTTGTAGTAATACTTACACATACTTGTATTTCAAGTGCATTTTTAATACATTTAATAGTATGTTTTGTTTTGTTTTTCACCAAAGTATATATGCTGCTGTCCTTTTTTAGTGTACTTTATGAATATGTGTAATGTACACAACAATATATAATACATTAAAGTTTTCTAGATATCAAAGTGTGTACGTGTGTGTATATACTGAAAAAAATACATTAAAGTTTTCTAGATATCAAAGTGTGTACGTGTGTGTATATACTGAAAAAAGCAGCTTTATAATATACTAGTAGTGTAATGCTAATGCATTTCCAATGAGCTGAAATACAATTGAAATGTACTTGAAGTACATTAAAACAATGCTTCAAATATACTCTAACTGTAGTTCATGATGCATTAAAAGTACATTTTAAATGTATTTTAAGAAATACACTTAAATTGCACTAAATATACTTAAAGTGGTTCCAATTTAACATAATTTCAATATATTAAATATATTATAAATAGATTAATATCAAACTTAAACATATCTTGAAATACACTTAATATACTTAAAGTTGTTTCAAAATAATACATTTAATATGCACTTAGTATAGTATAATTTAAATATAGTAAGTATGTCTGAAAAAGCACAATTTAAATATATTTCTTTTTCACCTGGGTATACTTTAGTGAGTACAGTAAAGTATCTAATTAGTTTCCATGTATGGGCACTACCTGTAAGTGACCGTTATTACCCACATGTGTCTGTATGTACAAACAAATTACCATGCCTGTAAGACTTAAGTACAGCTGTGTTTCTTATTTGTTACCATGTACATACACTTCAGGTAAGTACCTTGTGTAACTACTCAATTACCTGTAGGTACAAGATATTTGCCATGTATGTACCAGGGAAGTACACGTACTGTAAAATAAAGTGCTACCATGTCTCCACCAATGTCAAAAGCAAACCTATATGCCCTTGGAGATATTTTTAATTAAACCTGGGAGATTCCTGTTCCTTGAAATCCATTCCACCTTTTAAGCTTCAAAAAGTTCATAAGGAAATTTATGACAAAATTTATAAAGAAACCAATTAAAAAGTTTTGTATCGTTTTGTATGATTTTATTTAGGTTTTGTTTACAAGTAAGTTTCGGCTGCATCGGCTTTAGGTGGGGTGATAGAAATCTTTCAGGTTTCATTAAAAAATCTTAATGTGTGTTTCATAGATGAACGAAAGTCTTATGAGTTTGGAATGACATGAGGGGGAGTACGTGATGACAACATTTAAATTTTTAGGTGAACTATCCCTTAAAGTAACAGAAAAGAGTTTATATAGAATTGGCACATTATAAAAAAAAGACACTTTTGTGTGACTCACCTCACATGGTACACGGCTGGGTAGTGTGATGACAACATTTTAATTTTTAGGTGAACTATCCCTTAAAGTAACAGAAAAGAGTTTATATAGAATTGGCACATTATAAAAAAAGACACTTTTGTGTGACTCACCTCACATGGTACACGGCTGGGTAGAACCAGTAAAGACTGATTTGCGACAAGAGCACCACTAGACAGTTTCTTCTGTATTTTCAGCTCCTGGACTGATATTCCATCCACTGCTGCTGTCTGTCCACCTGGAGAAACACACTGTATTACTGAAATACTGCTCATAAACTGTAAGGAATTGTAGATGCTCACACAGATAGGCCTGATATATCTGGCCTGATAGACATTTAGTGGCGGGTTATCAGTGTTGTGACTTGCTAGCCAAAGGGCACTATTAAAGTGCCCATATTATGGATTTTTGAAAATTACCTTTCATGCAGTGTGTAACAGCTCTAAGTGAATGAAAACATCCTGCAAAGTTTTAAATCTGAAAGTGCATCGTGTATAAAGTTATTGTCTCTCAAAAGAAAGAGTCGACTCAAAATCATTTAAACAAGTTGTTTTTAAAATGAATCCCAAGCCGTTTCATGTTGACGTCAACATGAAACATTAGCATATTGACCGCCCACTTGTTGCGCATGCAGACCTGGGAAAACTTGATCCCCCCTCCCTCAAACACCGTAGCAGATTCCTGTGGATAGCATCATGTTGAGGAGACAGTTTGCTCTGCACTGTGAGGGTAAATCCTCACTCATTTTTTTTACTGCCAAAGGATGAGGCTGTGAAGAATAAATGGTTAAAGTTCATTTTTACAGCAATACCACAGCTGCTTAGCCCCAACCTTGTGTTGTGTCCCCGTCATTTTACTGAAGACTGCTACAGCAACAGTGTTTCCCACATACTTACACTCTATGTGGAAAATAAATGCATATTATAAGACAAAGGAAGTGTTTTTTGACCTTGCATGCATGTCAACCTGTTGTTGGGGACTCCCAAAACCAACATACTGTAAAAACCTTTCATAACCCATAATAGGGGCACTTTAACCACTTACAACAATGAATTCAGAATGCAACTGTAAGAATGCTGACACATAATACACTAAGGAGTTACTTTATTCTGCTATATAAATCTCCTTACTGATGACCGGTTTCCTGTAAAACTTACTTTTACTTTTTATTCATTTTTTTATGTCTTTATGTTATTATCGCTACATACCTCAGCAGATGAATTTGAGACAGCATTATTAAATACAGTATACTCCATAGACTGGAAAATATCCCAGTATCTTAGGCCACAGGCAGGGGAAAGACCCTGGACGGACAGCCAGTTCATCAAAGGGCTCACACATAGACATTCATGCTGTCAATTTTTATTGTCTCTAATTCACCTATGCTGCATGTCTTTGGGTTGTGGAAAAACCCACATAGACACAAGCAGAACATGCAAACCCAGAAGGCCTCCTGCACCGACTTGTACATTATTTTACATTGCATGCAGTTGCTTAATGACAAACATAATGAAGGATGATGACTGACTGTGTGACCATAGCCTATGCAGTTTAATGCCCCTAAAAGGTGTTTTAAATATGGGTTTTTGTCTTCCCATCCAAGTACTCACACACACACACACATACCCACCTCCCACCTCCCACCTGTAATCCCTGCCGGACCTGAGACATGAACATGAGACATGAGTTTCATAATTACAGTGTATACGTTTTTCTTTATTTACCCTCAAAAATTGGAAGTGAAATGTGACAACATGCCCCGTAGGTGGGGTACATTGTAACAGTTGAGGGGCATGTTGTAACATGACCATATGACAGCTTAAAATGTTATCTGATCGCATGAAAAAAATATGCAAGACAAACTAAAATATTTTGTCAATAAAATAAAATAATTGTTTATTTCAAATAAAATAATGGCGTTTTTTAAGAATTAAAAATAATCTGATTTTGGAATTTGACAATGAACACATTGCAACCATGCTTGGGATGGCCCACATAAACAAGCCAAAATGCTTTACATGTCTTGAAATAATAATTTCTTAACATTAAACATTGACTGTCAGTAGTTATTCACCTGTTTCTCGTCGTTTATCATTAAAATGTATTAAAGTAAATAGTGTGAATTACATCACTAATGTCATAGAATAGCACATTGTAACGCAGTGTTACAATGTGCCCCATCTGCGCAATTGGAATTTAAAACCGGTTACTGTCTTCTGATAGTTAGCAAAGCATTAAAAAATAATCTAAACTGATAATGTCATGAAGTCATGGCCTAATGGTTAGAGAGTCAGACTCGTAACCCAAAGGTTGCGGGTTTGAGTCTCGTACTGGCAGGGATTGTAGGTGGGGGGAGTGAATGTACAGCGCTCTCTCCCACCTTCAATACCACGACTGAGGTGCCCTTGAGCAAGGCACCGAACCCCCAACTGCTCCCCGGGCGCCGCAGCAAAAATGGCTGCCCACTGCTCCGGGTGTGTGTTCACAGTGTGCGTGTTCACCTGCGACGACGTCTGTTTAATGGAGGGATTTCAGTGTGGACTAGACAAAGATCTCCGCTTCGCCATGCCGCCCAGCGAGCACTGCTGGACCCTGGAGTCTTATATCAACATAGCACTGTGGACGGATGGATCCATGCTCGCAGTGAGCGAAATGAGTCCCCATCGGCGTCATGGCTGGAGGATCCCTTGCCTCCGCCTCCAGCCTCTGTGTCCCGGACTCAGCCTTGGCCCGTTGACCCAGCGGCTCCACCATGGCTCCTAGCTCCCTCCTCTTCGCCATGGCCCGTCAGTCCACCGGCTCCACCAGGCTCCCTCGTCCCTCCGGCTCCGCCTTGTTCAGTCGTCGACCATCCGTCGGCTCAGGACTTCCACTCCTCCGGCTACACCTCGTCCCTCCGGTTCTGTCAGGCTGCTTCTTCCTTCCGGCTCCACCGTGGACTTCCGGATCCCCGACTCTGCCTCGGTCGCCTGAGCCATCTGCTCCGCCTTGGCCCTCCAGATCCTCAGCGTCGCCCTGGCTCATCGGCTCTCCGGCTCCTGCCTCTGTCAGCTCCACCGTGGGCCGCCATCATGGCTGGGGTCTGGGTACCGCCTGGCTCCTCCTGTTCCCTCCTGTCTTCTCCCTGGCTCTTCCCTCTGTCTGGTCCGCACTGGCTCCTCCCTCCGTCATCACCACCCTGGACTCTGTTGGGCGTCCTCCTCCCAGTCATCCGGCTACCTCCAGAACCTCCTTTGACCTGTCTGTGCCATCCCTTTTTGCCATCCCTCCACCATCTCCTGTCCCTCACTTCTCTGTGGCTCGAGGTTGCGCCTTCTGGGAGGGAGGCGATCTGTCACACTTAGTCACTGTTTTGATTCTGTTTTCACTGTTTAGTTCATTCATTGTCAAGGTTATTGATTTGATTTCATCATTATGTTCATGTGTGTTTCATTAATTATCCTCATTTGGCTCATTTATATTTCGGTCTGTTCAGTTTAGTCTTTGTCTGGTATTGTGAATGTTTGCGTTTGTGTCGATTACTTTCCTCTATGTTGGATTTATCGTTTGTGGATTTATTAAAGACTGTGAAACCTTCTTCATCTTCGTGCGCGTTTATCAGCGTGACAGTGTTTGAATGAATCAGTTGAATGAATGATTGAATGACTCATTAAGACATGACTTACTGACTACCTACTGGCAGTTTTAGTTTTGTATGAGAAAAAAATATATTTCAATGTTTATAAAAAAAAAAACATTATGCATTTATGATCATTATGTAATCTTGAGAGTCTGTTCAATGATTTTCTCATCTAACACAACAGTGACTTTCAATATTCTATTGTAGTGGTAATTTCTCAGCCAAAAATGGTGTACGATTAATTGGTGATTAATTAATCAACACATCACAGTATTAGTTAGATTAAAAACTTTAAACACTTGACAGCCCTATTTTATGTTATCTTTCTATTTGTCATTTAGTTATTTAATTTTGTTTAGTGTAGTCTTAGTGTATTTAATTTTCTTGTTATTTTCCTGTTTCATGTTAATGTTTTTGATTAAACAAGTCAAATGTTCAGAGTAGTGTTGTCAAAAGTACTGACTGGATACCATTCGGTACTGAAATTTAAAAAAAACATTTCCCGCAAACATTTGAGCGCTGTTAAGCAGATTTTTAATAATCACTGATTGGTAATTTTGTTCACAACAGATATCATGCTCAACAGATATGACTGTGATTGCCTACACTGATCATCGCTTCACCCTCTTCACGGAGCACTCACACAGAAGCACACGGGAGCGTTTGAAAGCTGTGTCTATTAGCAGATCCGTCACTATCAGCGGATCCCTAATGTATCTGTGCAACAGAGTTAAAAAGAACATTAATTCTAATTATATTCATGGTGTTGAACTACATGAAATTAGAGGGTAAATTAAATAAAACGGTGTTTTGATGCCCCCTAGTGGTTAATGCATTTCAGACCTGCGCGCCTACTGTAGTTCAGCAAAAAATGGCTGACACTGCTGCGGGTAAGCGTGTTTCTTTTCTCTCCTGTTTATTGTAGTAAAAATGTGCTAAAAGTGTGTTTTAATTTGAGTGTTTCAAACTTAAACGTTTGTAGTGATTATTAGGGTTGGGTACCGAAACCCGGTACCAATATGGCACCGGTACCTATGTAACCGGTATGTACTAGAACTGAATCAGAACGCAGATTTCGGTGCCTCATTTTGGTGCCATGCCTGTGCGATCGATTGAAATATTTGTCCTCTGGTTCTCCGAAACGGACATAAGATACATCATCACCGGCACCGCACATGAAAAATAATTTCCCGACTGAGAAAATGCACATGAACTCAAGTCGGAATGCTCTAATAATACAAATCCAACACATCTTTGTAGTAACGAGACTGTCCATGTTGTTTTCACATTCCGACTTAAAAGCACAACTTGCTCTGATGGCAGCAGGTAGCCTTCCGTTAACTAAGCTAAACATGCTTAAATTAAGATGCCTCAAGCTAAACGTCTCTTATATTCACATTTCTAAACCTTTTGTCCAACAAAACAGAACATTATAACCTTTTTACTCCACTACACCAGTCAAATGCTTCCTTTTGTAATTTGATGTGGCTTCTTGTCACAGAATGAGCCAGAAAATATGTTCCATAGGCTACTTTAAAAAGAATACATCGATTATCAATAGATTATAAATTAGAGTGACCATACGTCCTCTTTTCCCCGGACATGTCCTCTTTTTGGAC